CTGCACGTCTGTGTTTCGAAAGCCGCCTTCCTTGTTTGCCCACTTTCCCTGTTTGATGAAATTAGAACGTGTTCTTTGCGGAGGGTACTTAGAAATTGATCTCTCAAAATTCGAAAACTTTTCACAAAATACCTACTAAAAGCGTACTAACCATGAAACTGTCAACGGTTAGTAGAAGCAACAAAAAAGTGTTCTGATGGGTAGTGTTTGAGATTATAGGAAATTTTTTTTTGATAAATTGGCCTTTTTTGAACAACAAATAGGTTTTCAGAAACCTTGTTTGAATTTTTAAAAAAAATTTCCAAGTATTTGAGAATCAAGAGTAACAGCCCTGTACAAAGCTTCAATTAGGCAAAAAAGCTAGCTAAAATTGTTAAAGAGTCATAAGTTTCTCAAAAACTTGTTAAAGAGTCATAAGTTTCCCAAAAACTTACAGAATTGGACACTCTTAATCCTTCTTTTTCCGATCTCAACTTCTTTATTTCAAATCACAAAGCTACTGGGAGGAGTGCCTTCAAGCTTTTTTGCAACTGAACTTGTTCCGATTACAAGGCACCCTGATTATCCCCAAAAGAATACAAAGCTCCAATAACAATGATATTAACCGCAAACTCTACATTCATAACCATGTGCTGTTTAACTTAATCAATAAATTTGTTCATCGACACTCACTAACTCTTTCGCCCAATCTTAACTTGCATCTAACCCACTTCTCGTTCTTTGGTAATGAATTCTTTACAAATTTTCTTGCTTATGTTATTTATAAATTCTCTTGATAATCTGACGATACCGTTCCTCCTCAAATAATTTCCGATCAAACACTTTGCATCATATGTAACAACCACCTTCGTGGCCGTGGAATATGTTGCACAACATGCGCAGCCTATATGCATGTAAAATGCTGCGGCCTTAACCGAGCCAGTGACCACGACGAAAATTTCAAATGCGTTCGCTGCACCTCCCTGATTACAGACAACACTACAATTGACATTCAAGCCCCACCAACTCAACCTCATCAGGCTCCTTCGACTAACGATCAAAATCCTGCAAACAGCAACGAAACTATAACAGCCACACCCGACACCTGGTCAAATCCCACACCTGAACAAAAGATAAAATAAGAACAATCTACAGCCAAGTAGTGCACTGGAAACCAGTCTTCATGATCCTCGCAAAAAAACAGAATTGGGTTTAACTTAATAGAAACTCTAAATAGAATCCTCAACTCGTTGATTGAAACACAAGAAAACACATACGCAATGCACGCAACAATGATATTCCCTCACCTCATGCTATGTAAAACCAAATCGGAGAGTGTTGGTTCGAACTCCAAAACTATAGCAAGAAGGCTTAGGCAATGGCATAAGGGCGAACTGGACGAACTTTTTAACGAGGGAAATGCGCTGCAAATGCGCTTGGTTAAGAGTAAGAAAAAGAAAGTAGAAATTGAAGCACAGCAGTTTATTAAACTAATGAACACCGGAAAATATTGAGTGCTATTGCTAAATTAACTGATACCTCCAAGGGAGATCTTTCACTCGAGGAAACCGTCAAAGGTCAAACTCTTGAGCAAATCCTCATCCAGAAACACCCTCATGCTGAGTCAGTAAAGAGCAAGTATATAACATCTTGCTCGGAAGATATAATCCCTTTCCACTCATCCACGTTCGACCAAACAAACGCCAAAAAATTAGGAACGCTGCCATGACAACACATGGTTCTCATGGACCCTCAGGTCTGGATGCAAATGGGTTGAGACGCATACTAACGCACTTTGGTCAACAGTCATTTGAAATATCAAAGACACTAGCCAAAATCGCACAGAAAATATCGACAGAAATACTAAGTCATGAGCTTCTTGAACCATATAATGCCTGTCGACTAATTCCACTTGATAAAAACCCAGGAGTTAGGACGATTGGCATAGGCGAAGTCATCCGTTGAATAATAGGTAGAGCGATCACAAAATGCTTAAAAAGCGAACTTATGGTACTCGGATCGAATTACCAACTGAGCGTTGGCCAAAAATGTGGCATCGAATATGCAATTCATACGCTTAGGAAGCAATAAGAGAAAACAGATTCCGATGCAAAACTACTGATAAACGCGGAAAATGCATTTAACTCCCTGAACCGGAACCTGGCTTTGTAAAACATTGCAAATATATGCCCTTCGATACTACCAGCAATACAGAACTCATACTCTAATCCATCCAATCTCTTCGTAAAAATGTAATCCTATCTAGAGAAGGAACCACACAAGGAGACCCATTAGCAATCGCAATGTACGGGCTAGCCACTTTACCTTTATAAAAACTAGTCAACGATAACAGCCTAACACAGAAATGGTATGCAAACGATGGGAACGCAGTCGGTTCTTTGAAAAGCCTGCGAAGAGTTCTCGACAAAATTATCAAACACGGAAAATACTTTGGATATCATGTTAAGGCATCGAAAAGCCAGCTCATTGTAGAAGATGAAAAATACAATGAGGCAATAAAAATATTGAAAAATACCGAAATTGAAATGAAGAAAGGGGCCAGAGTACTTGGTTCTGTCATAGGATTCGTGACTGAATGTAAAACTTTCTTAGAAACTCAGTTAGAAGAACAAATTAAAATACTGAAAAACCTTGGCAAGATCGCGAAAACATCACCACAAAACGTGTACTCCTGTTACACAAAAGGGGTACAAGAAAAATTATCGTTCTTGGCTAGAACTACCCCAATACCACAGAAAACATGCAGGCCTGCGAGAAGATACTGCAGGAAAATCTAATTCCAAATTTAAATGGTGCAGATAATATCAACTTCATAAAGATCTTGGAGTGTGGTGCCGCGGTAGGAGTGAATTGTAGATTTTACTAGAGCTGGTTTGATATATTTGGTCCTTGATGTGCCAATTACAAGCTTCTGTGAAAAGTCAGAGATTCGCCTTGCCTGGAATCGGGGCATCCACTTGAAACACAGACAGCAAAGGCAACGGAGAAGCTCTTACGTAGAAAGTTGGGGGAACGGATGGCCAATGAATCAAGGAGTTTTATTTAAATCTGAGTTTAAAAAAATTATGAAAAAATGAAGAAAAAAAAACGAAAAATTGATAAGTAGGAACGGTACAACCTGTGGTGTTGTTGAAGGGTAGTTCCACCTGCTTCCACCTGAGCAAGAAAAAATCTATACAAAAATTAAAACACTTGTAACTGAAAGAACAATCCAAAAGAGAACTAACATTTTGAACAACTTGAGCGACAATGAAAAATACGCACTTGAGTTGGCCTCCGAAAAAGGAGCCTCAAACTGGTTAAATGCACTGCCTCTTAGCAGATATAATTTCAACCTGAATAAATCCGAATTCCGGCATGGAATTTATCTCAGATATGGATGGGAACCAACCAACATTCCACTCACATGTGCATGTGGTCAATCTTTTGACCTTACCCACGCCCTTCACTGTGCAAAAAGTGGATGCACCCACATTAGGCATAACGAAATCATGACGCTCATGAGCGAGGTTTGCTTTGATGTTGAAATCGAGCCGAAACTTCAGTCGTTGCAAGGCGAGAGCTTTGTCAACAATTCAACCACAACTGATTAAGACGCTCGACTAGAAGTAAAAGCAAAGGGATTATGGGGCTCAAGGTTTAGCCGAACCTTCTTTGATGTCAAAGTCTTCAACCCGCACGCAAAAACTTCACGAAGACTACTGAAAAACGCCTATAAGTACCACGAATCACTAAAAAACTCAAAATACCAACAGAGAGTTCTACAAGTCGAACAGAGCAGCTTCTGCCCGCTCATTTTTGGCGTCACTGGTGGTGCCGCACCAGCAGCTACTCGGACAATGCAGCGGATAGCTGACAAACCAGGTGAAAAAAAGGCATGAAAGCTACGCAGAAACAATAAACTATGTAAGAACTAAGATAAGCTTCGCGCTGCTCAGGAGCGCTATCCTTTGTATACGGGGTTGCAGATCACTGCGTAAGACGCAATTCATAGCCTTTCATTTAGTGATGTTGTAGTGGAGGGACGGTTGAAGTAAATACTTTTAATGACAAGGCATTAAATGCTGACTTGACTTAATTCCTGCAATTTTGTTCATTGATGTATTTATATAATGCTGGTATGGGCCCTATCCAGCTTGTGCACGACCCCCCTAAACGGAAGGGTCTCTTTTATAATTTACCTTTTCAAAAAATTTATTGGCAGCCTCGAGAACTAACCCAGGATCGCCCTTGACAGTTCTAACTATGTCGTCCACATATCTTATAAAAACTCTAACACCATTCTCAGCCCGATCTGCTTCCTGTTGTTTTTTGCAAGTCATGCAATATCATACTGTTTCAGATTCTTCCTCTCACGCTTTTGTAGAGGAAGGATGACTAAGATAAATTAACATTACGACGATGCATTGAATGCTGATTCATGACTTCATTGATAAAATGATACAGCTTGCTGATATATATGCATTTTTTTTTATAACGCTGGTATGGCCCTATCTAGCTTGTGCACTTACTGTAAATAAACGGAAGGGCCTCTTTTGTAATTTGATTTTTTTTATCATACACGTACCAGCAGCTTTAGCTGGGCTCTAAGTGTCCTTCATCAAGGCGTACGAAAGTTTTGTTCGACCTAGTTTTTTTAAACTTTTTTCATTTTTTATCGGCTTGTTTTTTTTAATGATTGTGTTGTATCGCAAGTGATGCGAAGCTCAGCTTCGTCAAGGTTGGTATTCACAGTTACTGAAATGATAAATCAGTCCCATTTGTACGAAAATAAAAAATCAATGGCGTTAGTGCCATAAATTTTCAATTGGCCAAAGACTACTAGCCCCCAAACTGTATTTTTGTATCTTTTTGAAGGGTTAATATCTTTGGGGGACCTTCTGACTATAAATCACGAAAAGTCATAACTAGTGGTGCATACTGGAGCTACTTATTATTTTATTATGGCGCACTGATTTACTTATGGCGCACTTTTTTTTTATTGGTGAACATTGTTTCAGAATTTGTGAATTAGACTGAAGAAACCTTAGATGACCATGGTCACAACAATGGCGAGCTCTAGTGTACCGTGTTCTTCGGCCAGCATAACAAGTGGTGACGCTACTATGAGTATCGTGCATCAGTTGATGTGTTACAGACAAGGTGGTGAATCGGAGTCATTTTCTAAACGAGCCGTTGAGTCGCTTGTCAAAAAACTCAAGGCTAGTAGATAACTGGTAACGTGTTCAGTAAATGGGATGCTTTTTCGCAATTTTATTTGGCGTTATCCATTTCTCGAAAAGATTTAAGACTATCCGAATAAAATAGTTATATTGTTTCAGGACAAAAAAGACGAGTTGGATGCTCTGATTGCAGCCGTTCAATCAAATGGTCAGACTCACACAAAGTGTGTTACAATTCCTAGAACCCTTGATGGAAGGCTACAAGTCGCAGGGAGAAAAGGTTTCCCGCATGTCATATATTCCAAAATTTGGAGATGGCCTGATTTACATAAGAATGAGTTGAAATCCCTCGCTTATTGCCAATTTTCATTCGAGAAGAAAGCAGATGCCGTTTGCGTTAACCCCTACCATTATGAACGCGTAGTTTCACCTTCAATTGGTAAGAATTTTAAAGAATAATCGATGTTGTTTTTTGCGGAAGCAAGTTGAGACGAAATTCATCTTTAGTGAGAATTTACCATTATTTGTTTTTTAAATTATTGTGTTTTCAGATCTTTCGACACTGTCACTTCATGCTGCCGGCGATTGGGGAGGTATAATGTATCATGTTTAAATAAAATGTTCAGGAGTTAGTATAACGTTAGGTCAAACGCAAAATGTTTACAGGAGGTTCTCTTGAAGATGCTCAGAGGTCACTTTCAGTCATGCAGCACTCAGGCGTATCAGCAGCAGCCCTGTTGCATGCTCAGCATGAACACTCACTCTATCCTCACAGTCAACCACCGAAGCTGACCTCATCAGTGCCTGGACTGCCGCCGGGAGGCAACTTCAGTACTGACCCTTTCGCCTCTCCTCTTTCTGCAAGTGCCCTCCCACCCTCATCACAAGCTCCAGGATCCCTTCAGTCTCCTATGGGACCTTCTTCTGGACGAAGTAATTACAATTGAGTTTTAGTTTTAGTCATCACGGTGTTGTACGCCTGAATGTCTAACTTTTCTACGTTTGCTTAAAGATACGCATCAATGGACACCTGAAACATCTGCCATGTTTGCCCAGAACTCAGGCGATCAAAAGGGATACTGTGAGTAGAGTTTTGATTAAACTTTGAAAGTAGTTCTAAGACATTGGTACAGAACTCTGTTTTGTTTTTTAGGGGGTCCTAATGGTCTCGGTTCAACTTCTGGATTCTCACAACAGCCATCTAGCAGCACAGCTGGGCTTACAATCTCCGGTCCCCTATCCTCGAAACCAGTTCCTCGAGAGTGGTGTCACGTGCAGTATTACGAGTTGGACACACCTGTCGGAGAGCAGTTCAAGGCCTCAAGAGACCACCGAGTCATCCTGGTTGACGGGTAATAATTCTCAAATTTCCCCCAAAGTTCAATCTCTGCGTAACGCTTACATCAGCCTGCGAATAATTATTTTTCATTCAAAATGTGGGCATCCGTTTTATGCTTTTTTTGTTTAAAATTCAGATACGTCGATCCAGTACGTGACAACAGATTCTGCCTTGGAGCACTAAGCAATGTCCACAGAACATCAGCCAGCGAAAAGGCGAGACTCCACATTGGAAAAGGAATCCAGCTGGAACTAAAGGGCGAAGGGGACGTGTGGTTGAAATGTCTAAGTCAGCACCCTGTTTTCGTACAGAGTTATTACTTAGACAGAGAGAGTGGACGATCACCTGGAGATATTGTTCATAAGATATACCCCAATGCCGAAATTAAAGGTACTTATACTGAATAATGAACAGTATATTTCAAAATTGTGATTTTTGGTCAACAGTTTCTGAGAAAGCGCGTATTGTTTACTGTAGAAGTTAGTTAAATTCCGAAACGAAAATTTGATAATGTCGTGACGTTACGAAATAGCGATTAAGTGTCAAAGAACGAAGTGGTTTTCACATATATGTATCTTGATGTTTTTTTAGGAAAAAGTCTTGAAGTTTGGTCACGCTCAAATTTAATTTTTCGCGGTTTGACTTTATTTCTTGAAGTTCGTTTCATTTCCTTTGTTAAAATTAATGTAAACTTTTAATTGATCCAGTTTTGTCTAATGAGTTTTTTTTAACGAAAAAAGTGAATCATAAACAGTATTTGAATTTCAAAACAAAGGAGGATTTGGGAGGGGCGACGGACGCTCCCGCTTCCTCAGGGATTCGTACCCCACACCAAACAAAGGGCCCACATTGGTATTATTTTATGACATATTTTTGGCGACCAATCCTAAAATTTTTCTAAAGGCGCTTTTGGCGCCACTATATCCTAATTTTGACGGGAAGCGCGAGCAAAAACCCCGAAAGCATCCAAAAAGTGCTGAAAACGCCGTTTTTGGCCTGTTAAAGAGTCGATGAACATAGTTAGACGCTTATTGGCTTCTAATTTTGAAAATGGATTTTGGAATCAATTTTTTATTCATCAGTTTTATCAAATTGGGTTAATTTATCAAAAAGCGACACTCATTAATTGTTCTAGAAAATTAAAGAGCTGTATGGGACTATCTTTAAAGAGAACTATCTGTTCGCTATGTTTTTATCAAAATTTCCTTGAGACAATCATAGGTCCGCCCCTGATTCAAAGAGCTTCAACGTGATATATTTTTTGTTCGAAAGTTTTAAAGCGTAAAAACATTTTAATCATTTTTTTGATTTCCTTGTTCTTTTACAATTTTACAATTGTTGGTTTGCTATGTTTAGTACGCTTACGATATAGACTTTTTTGGGTTAACAACTAGTATAATAGAATCAATGAATCAACTTGAATCATTTTACTTTTGGGTCTTATGAAATCAAAAGTCAGACTTTAGTTCGCGTATGTGGGGAAGAGCTAACGCACTTTCCTATAAGGACAAATGCCATTAGTTCGAATCAGGCCATGACCTGTTTTTTTATTTGCGGAAAATTGACAGCGCTTCAATAAATCTTTGTCGGACTTCTATGGGTCTGTTTTTTGTCGGCTTAGTTTGCCTAAAATATGGATTTTTTTTACTCTATTTAAAAAACTTTTTAGTGTGTTCCGGTTTTGGACAAGCAATTTAGTTCCATGAAGTTTCATTTTTTTTTTGCTTTTTTAGAAAAATTTTTCATGCTGTTCATTAGAAGTTTTTGGAAGTTGTTTTTTTTTTGTAAATTCAATGCGTGTTCTGTGCATTTGTGACACCCTAGTGGAAACAAGTTCGATTCCGGACGGTACCTGTTTTTTGAAGATAGAAAGTTTTCGAATATTTTAGTCTTTCGTGTCTGCTAATTTTTGTCGGCTTTTCCGCAGAAAGGTTCGTTTTCTTTTTAGCTTTTGAAAGCTCTTTGTAAAATTTCTGATTGTGCAGGTAATTTTTTTTTACCGAAATTCTGCAGAAGATCGTCCTTTTTCCAGTTTTCGTCTATACATTTTTTTGAATTTTTTTTTTTCAATTTTCTATTTGTCTTTTCATTTGATTTTTTTTTTCAATTTTTTATTTGTCTTTTCATTTGCTGGTCTTTTCATTTGCAATCATTAACAAATCATTTTTGTTGTATCGCAAGTGATGCGAAGCTCCGCTTCGCCTCTGTTTTATAATATGTTTGTGCATTTACTGTTTTAGTATTTGATCTAAGCCTTTGTTACGGAGAATTACAGAAACAAGCCGCGACGGTGAAAAGCGCTGTTGCGGCACAAGCAGCAGCTGTTAGCGGGAACCTGCCCGGACCCTCTGCAGTTGGTGGAATCGCGCCAGCAATCAATTTCCAGATAGCTGCCGGTATAGGCGTGGACGATCTGCGCAAGCAATGCCTGTTAAGAATATCTTTTGTTAAAGGATGGGGTCCGGATTACGTTAGACCAGATATAAAGAGCACTCCTTGTTGGGTAGAAGTTACAATGTGTCGTGCACTGCAATTGTTAGACGATGTTTTAGTGGGTCTTCCTGGACCAAATCCAAGAATAGCTAATGTCGAAAGCTGAAAGGGTCAAGGGAAGTTGTGAGGCGACAATTTATAGTAACAGGCGACTATTCGTGACAGTAGACCCGAGTGCTAGCCCAGTTGAGCAAGTATACACTTCTTGACAATGCTGCGATAAACTAGTTCTCCTTTTCAATTTCCACTTGTACGAATTGTCGCCTGTTACGGAGTACCGTCTAGCCAATTAAAATATGTGAAAACTATTGGTTTGTTGTTATTCAGTCAATGTCCCGCCTGATTTCTGGTTTTATGTATCAAAAAGCAAAAATGAAGCTGAGTTGTAATTATTTGCTAATTTTTTTGCTGTGAAGTAGGAAAAAGACATTGATAATGTTTCCAAAATTCAATTTTGAACTTGCTACATCCTGAGTGATCTGTTTCACATTACCATTTTGCAATTCTCTATTAGCCCAAAAAGGCTTTGGTTGTAAGTTAGTGAAATAGAAGATGATCTTCTCTAACTGGCAAGAGGGCTCAAATTCTCTATATAGAGGGCTCAAACTCTCCATATATATAACATTTTCTATCTCTAAATATTCATGTTTTCCGTTTTTACTACACGTTTGATTATGTTCAATTATCACGATGAAATTTAACGTTTATTTGTTTATTTTGCTCCTAAATTATACAGCTAAGATTTATTACCAGTCAAGATTGCAACCATAGAAGTGATACTGCTGTAAAATCATTGAAGAGATAAAAATGTTGCGGTTTAATTTAGATCTACAAGGCGCTAAACTGTATGAATTAGGATTTTAAAATAGAATTGATGCAAAATTATATCCTTCAATTTACGAAACTATCTTCGGCCTTTTAGATTTTGCGAGGTATATGAATGTGATTCTCATGCATTACGCTATCAATCTTAACCTGACTACGCTGGATTAGTTGTTGTTATTTGAAACCTCCAATATTTCGTAGCTCATTACTTCAGTTTATTTGTAATAACTTTTTAGTCTATAATTTCACTGTTTCAAACAAGTTGTTTTCATTATTTATTAAGAGTAATGAAGGTAGTGAAGACTCTTATTTTGGTCTTGCTGATTTTTTTTTTCAGGAAAAGTCTTTAACTACAGATGTGCATTCTTCTATATTGATGCATTTATGAATGCACTCAGGTATATATGCACTTTGAGTTCTATTGAAATTCATCTGCTAAAAATGGCGTAAATAGCGCTCTCCAAATTTGAACGTGGAAATGGCGCAAAAAATTGTGAACGGTTTCTAGTTTCGAAAGTGGAATTTAATTTTTAGATTTCCAGCGGAATACAAAATTTATCAAGACAATAGAATGTGTAATAAGCATAGGAAGTTAATGTACTTCGCGGTAAAAAAAGCCGAAAATTTGTCCGAAATCTTTCAAGTCGAAAAAAAAATCAACAGGAGTTCCGACTTATGAACAGATAGTAAGTCCCCCTCGCCCACAAAACACGCAAGTACTCAGAAAACTTATTTACTTGGCAAATGAAAATAACTGAGCCCACTAAGCTGATATAATAGGCCGAAATCTAATGAGCCCAAAAAAAAGAAAATGAAAAAATTTAAGACTAACAAGAAATTATGAAATTCCCCTCACTCTCAAAACTTAAGCACACACAAACGTTTTTCGCTCATTGAATGATGCCAACAAGAAGATATAATACAGGACGAAACCTATCAAGCCGAAAAGAAGGAAAAAAAACAGCCGAAAAAATTGTTGTCATCAAAAACGTGAACTATTATTTCTATTGAAGTTCTTAGCATTTTGTAGAGGTGAGCATAAGAAATAAATTTCCGTTGATACGACTGAAAATAATGTCATCAAGCTTAAAAAAATAGGCCGAAATCATTTGGACAGAATAAAGTTTTTAAGCGAAAACAAAGAAAAAATACGAAGTCAAGGCTAGTAAAATTGCAAACAGCAGAGGTAGATCAGAACACTAAAAGCAAGTATAATCTTTAAAAAAAACTATAAAGAAAAACAATTTAACAATAAGTCAACTAAGCCGACAAAAATTATGCAGACAATAAAACGCCGATCAGGTTTTTTTGAAACGGACTACTTCCTGTTAGGAAAAAGCAGGTCCTGACAGATTTGGACCCAGGAATTTTGCCGTCCCAGAGGCTTTCGTTACCTCCAGACTAAGTGTTCCGGGGAAGCAAAGAAAATTAAATTGATTATGAACAACCTAAATTTGTCATTTCTAATTTTGACATTCCTTGAACAAGATATTTGGGGAAAAAGTCCAATACCCGATTGCAATACCCTTGCTTATCGCAAGGGTAAAAAGCGCAATTAAGTCGCCAACGTAATCAAAGTTTTTTTTACTGAAAGTTCTGTCCAACAGAAAAGTTGTGTTAGGTCCGTCACTGTGTCTATAAAACTCCAGTGATTGTTATATGTTTACTTAGATTACACCATAGTTCACTGTTGGAAGTATTTTGTATATTTCTCTTAGCACGGTAGTTTTGTCAGAAACTGCAGAAAATTTTTTTATTGCCAAATGCTTGTTACCCAGTATCGAAAAAATCCCCACCGACCGAAATACAGTCAAGAGGTCAGTGTTATGAATATGGTTGTGCGCGAAACCCTTGTATATCAGAATCATTGCATAATTACACAAGCGTAGCTTGTGTTATAGTATGAACTTTCTTTTTTTTTCCAATGTAAGATGCAATTGTTGCGACAAATTATGTTCATTTTGATCCAGCTATTAAGTACAGCCAATGCTAAGGAAAGGATATTAACACAGACTATTATATTACAAATATCACTTTAGCTTCAAGGTATCATGGTTCTGTAGCGTAGAGATAGGGAAGGAGACCAGCAACAAAATAAGAGGGTTCGAACCTGAGCAGGGTCGGATGTTTTAAATGAACTTTTTCGTATACTAGTTAAAATGCGTCCGCTCTATAGATTGAGGCATGTTAGTTAGATTTTTTTTTTCAAATTGATTTGTACTGCTAATGCGTCATAATTGGCTTGCGTTACTTAGCAATTATGTATACTCATAATTGGCGTGCGTCACTTATGAAATTTTGTAGACTCAAAGTTTTACTCATTCAGTTTTTCCCAGTAGTTTTATCGGTCATATTAACCTCTGTGTTTAATACTTGTTTCATAACTGAATCGCATAATTATGCTTCTTTGGACGACAAAGGCTCGTGATTTGAGATCTTTTTTCCTAATGGAAATTTTTTGATCAGAGATAGATTTTGGATTATGTTCGTTTTTGGATTGCCATGTATCAACTCATTAGTTGTCGGCTTGGTTTAGTTGCCGCGGCACTGACTTTTCATATACGTCAAGCATTTCATACCATTTTAAACACTTTCTTAAACAACCGATCTTGCGAGCGTATTGTATACGAGCATTTTACTTTCATCCAACCCAATTCTCTTATTTTTAGGGGTAATATTTTTGGAGCAAATTGGGACTTTTTGTGGCACTTGAAATATATACGCCCTGAGCTCATATAGAAATATATTTGACCTGCGATCATTTTTTTGTGATTTGGTGGAATAAAAAAGTTAATTTGCTGGACTTAATTTTGCGTGCGTTAATGCAATTACCTATCGGTGATGTTCAATTCGTACCCGCGATTGATTTGACAGCAACGATAATATCCTAATTCTAACGCGTTCAAATATCTATTCCAAATTGAGTTCTGGCCAAGTAATTGAAGCTTAAATTCCCTTCTAGACAGTTCTTCCTAGTTTCTCAACTTTTCAGTGCTTCTTGCGATTAGTTAGCGTTATCGAATTGGATCACATACTTTTTCATGATATAAACTTGTTTAACAATATCACTGAATCATTTAATGGAATGGTTTATAATTAGTTCAAAATCAGTGCCTTATAATGTACGTTTGGCCTGGATGTATCGTCGATGAGTGGAACTGCAATGGTACAAGATCGAATGATTCAGTTCATGCTGTTCGGCTTTTTGCAATCTGAATTTTTTTGGCTTAAAAAAAAACAACGTCTCGTGGCCGTTCGTTTGTTGTCTTATTTTTTCAGGTTAGTAGCTACTGCTCGTGTTTTCTGTGTTGAAGCAATTTCACTGTGTTTTCTGGAGGTTGAAGCAATTTCACTATAGTTAAAATTTCTTTCGATGTTTTCATGTAATGGTGCATGTAATTGAGTTCCAATTTTTGCTGATATGTTGTTTGAAAAAAAAACATCAGATACGATATTTGGACATTTTTTTTTGAATCTTTTGCTTTGACTTTTCATGCTCCTGAGGTCATCGGACAGAATGGATCCTTGCCCTAAGTTTTACCATGAATCTTGAGCTTTGAAAATAGAAATAAAAAAATTCATTGTGTAATCTAAATTTTGTATTCAGACTCTAAAATTAGTCTCCCGTACAGACCTGAACCGAATTTTCTGGTTATGAGATAATTCATTCGTTTTTGTTCCGACCCTTGGAAATGGGGAGGAACGTTGTAATCGGGTGTTTTAGTTTTTATCTTCTTTTGTTTTCCCCGCGAAATTAGCTATTAAAAATAATCATCGGATTAAATTTAGTGATAAACCATAATATAGACCTTTCAGTCGTGATTCGAACATAAAATTTTTCCAAAAAGTTTCCTATAGTCTAGAAAACCGGTTTTAAATTTTGATTTTACTCTAATTTTGAGCGAGTTAGGCTTACAATAGCTTATTCATGCTTAATTTAAGCTGTAAAATGTAGTTTACCAAGTGAAGTTGTTTTTGTAGCGATTGTTTCGCCATTTGTTGTGCAATTTGCCTGTTTTATTATGAATGTCGAAAATGCCTCAGTTGCACGCGTTCTTTTAGATCTTTTTATCACACGCAGAAAACACCATACTAATTTGAAAAACATATATATATATATATATATATATATATATATATATATATATATATATATATTTGTATTATTGAAGACTATGATCGGAATGTTTTGTGTTGTTTTGCACATTAACCGGCTATCCCTGTTTTTGTATGGAAGGGTTAAGTTGAAATGTCATTTTTTTCTCAATAACGGTCTACCTGAAATTTCATCGGTTTGTAACCGCTTCGAAACTACTGGTCTGCCTGAATTCTTTAAGCTCGCAGTTGCATATGGCTTTTTCAAAACGATTCATCGATACTAAGTAAAATCTTAATTCCTTTTTCGTCGGCTTCATTGTTTCGGTATCTATCAGCCTAGTAAAAGAAAAAAAGCTTGAGAAAAAATATGAACGTATAACGTATTGTTTTCTAGTAATAAAATCAATGGTTCTTTTTGTTTGCTTGGCACTTCCCCAACTGTAGTAGTAGTAGTAATAATAGACTTCAAGTTACCCCATGAAATGGGTAAGAATTTCTTAAAATGAGCAAAAATACAATCAAAATGGTTGCAACAATATCTACAAAAAGAACATCGGCATTTAAAGACGACATAAGAAACGGAGAAGTTAAATTTTGACGAGCATAATCTGTTAAGAAAGATCCGAATCTGCCTGTTTGACAATTCTGATGTGTCTATAAGATTGTGACTCGACATATCAACAAAGTCATTGACGACATTCACTATCCGGTAGAAGAAACTCTTTGAAGTGAGATTTTTCAAAGATTTCCAAGGCTTCAACCTAAATTTCGTAAGGATCGAGTAGGTTGCTAAATGTCAAAGAAGTTTTTGAAGTTTAAGCAATTTTTGCCTTGTCGAATAGAAGAGAAAAACCTATGATCTCGTTCAATTAGTTGGTAGCTTATTGGCAATGAATTTGATAAAGTCAGCAAACAGATGAAAGGATTGGACCCGTAGCACCATTTAAGACCAGGTCTAAGAACCACACAGGGTAATCATTCAGTAATCACTGGTTGAACAATTTGAGTGTTTCGAAATCATTGCTGGCATTCTTCTTATCGCAATATATAACTGAGGGAAACATTTTTGTACTGCTCAAGGTTTTCTGAAGCACTGCTTTATTTACTTTTTGAAACTTTTTACATTGGCTTCAATAACATCTAATTGTATCGGACCACTTCTGCGACGCCGCGTTGTTCCCAGCCTGTTCAGCTCATGTACTGTTAGAGAACAATAATAAAAAGGAAGATTTCGACGCTTTCATTGCTTGATCAAGCAACACTGATAAGTTGCGTTTCGAAAAACTTCAATCCATGTGTCGTTGAAACTGAAACCTCCTTATCTGATCATTATCCTGTCACCCTTTCGCGTTATGCAGATATAAACGAAAGAAACTTTGACACCACAACTCAATTTGAGGTTAACTGCTTTGATCACGAAAAATTTAGGCTAACTCTTAAATTTGACAATCATATATCAAATATGCATCACGATAATTAAATTAATGAAAAACAATATTCCGTAATATCAAAGATCAATATTAGAAAATAAGGCCAGATCAAGAACATTACCACATTTATGAGCAGGAGTGGCGACTATCTGTGATAACTCGCATTCATTAGTTAAAAAATCTACAACTTGTTGATCATCTGAGCGGCTTGACATCACAGCTTCCCTATTGACAGTCGGAATATTAAAATCCTCCAACACTAGCCACTGAAGTTTTCAAAAATCAAGGTGAATAACAAACTAAGCCTGTATTTTTAAAGCAAGATGATGAATTTTTGCTTCAACAACTGATGATGGAATAAAATAAACGAAGTGGAAGATAAAGTAAAATTATAACCATTAACTCGTTACTAAAACCAATCAAAAAGCAGAGGCCAAAATCAAACTTTTCAGTGAAGTGTACTTCAATCAAGGCGACTAAAGTGTCACTGCCAGCTAATAAAAAGGCATCCATGCCCTCCATGTGGGAGATGTATCTGTGAGAGAAGCATCAGCCAGATTTCAGTTAGGCTAAAAGAGACTAATACCTTGCGACAAAAGTGATTGAAAAATACTCAAGCGCCTCTTTAATGAAAAAGAAAGCTTTGACAATTAAACAGGCAAACAGAGAGTTCGTAAGAAACTTTACGATCTAGTCAATTTGTTAGAGCTCCAATAACTTTCCCATTTTTGATTCTTCATAATGCTTGCTCTGCCGGTGTTAGGTCAGGATTGATGTAAACTTCAGTTTAAAATGATGCTGCACGTAGTGCCTGTCTTCCGCAAGAACTGAGACATTATGAGGATTTGAATTTGAGGAGTAGTAATTGTCTTCCTGTTTGTTCAATTATTTTAATCTCTATTGCTTGATTTGATGGTTTTTCAATGTCTAGTGCTTCTGCGATACTGTTAACAAGATCACGGTCTGTTTTCCAGCCATATGGCTTCGTCCCTTTTACAACTAAGTTAGTTTTCTTTTTGTCAAGAAGTCGCTGTTCATTTTGTACTTCGTTGAAAAGCGTGGCTCTAGCATCATTCTCGTTCGTTAATTTCCAGTAGCACTTCAGCGTTTCAGCGTAGCTTTTCTCTTCATTAATTTTTCCAGACGAACAAGAACCACATGTAAACCTCCGCACGATGTCATAATCAACCGGGACAATTATCTTGGTTTTGACGGGGCCTGAATCTGAGCAGCAAATCATGGTCACTTCAAAAAGTCGTCCTCGTCTGTATTGGTGTTTTTTCGCAATTTAGGTGCCATTGGAAATCACTAGAGCATCTCGCACACCGAGTTTTCTTTTAACAACTGGAAGTCAACCCGAGTTTGCCAGAAAACTTGACAAGCTTCAAGGAATTGCGGCCTACTGTAAATGTAAATAGAGAAATATGATTTCTTCGATATTCGGGACTGTTGAATAGTTTGAGCTCAATTAATTAACTGATAAGTCGTTCCAGTGCCAGGACCATTCAACCGGATCTCTGAAATCCGGATCTGTTTAATGAGTTTATCACAACAATTAGGCTATTTCAATTTATGTCTATTCATTTCCAATTTGTGTTATGACGAGTTCCTTTACTTTTGGTTCCAAGACTTTTGCAGAGTTTTCCATGTTGTTTTAGTCGAACATTTTTCTATTCGTTTTTCCTCTTACTTCTATAAAATGATTAGTCACTTTCAAACGGAGCTCAAAGTTTTCTGAAGCAAATTTCAGCTTCGTCTCTGTGTTGATAAAATCATTTATTCCTAACTTAAGTTTTCCGTAGTTCAATATTTCAACGATTTAATAAACTGGTTGTATGATATTGAATAATTTAATTAAACTAAGTCTGATCAACAGTTGTTGATTCCTTGCGGTGGAGTTTTATATTGAGTATGATATCTTGTAACACAATGCGAGAGGTCTCATTGCTGTCATTGATTGAATCTCTGCAACAGAAGTTGACCAATGAGAAAGATGCAGACGAGAGATGCGAGGCGCTGCAAGAAATAGGCGAACACATTGTCGAGAGAGGAGCAAGTTACAGCGAACAGGAAGCTCATTTTGTTTGGTATGTATGAGAAATTGATGAGAAAATTTTAGATCCAAATATTTCAAATGTGTCCCTGACTTCTCTACGGGAAGACCTGAAAAAAGCTTTTGACAAAAAAAAGTTCAAAAAAAGTTTTCATCTTCATAAATAAATCATGAATTATTTTCAGCGAGTTCCTTGCAGCGAAATTGGCATCTGACTCAATCCAAGTAATTCCAGCAGTGTTGGATTGCAGTGTGAAGTTGTTCGCAAACAAGATTCCAAATTCTGACAGTCAGTTGGCATTAAAAGACGTAATACGGGTTCTGAAAGCGTCTTTGGATGAACTTTATGTGCAAAGCTTCACACAGAGTACTCGCTTAATGTCGTATAAATTATGCATTTTGGGACTGAAGTTATTATCCGACGATTGGTCGTCGTATAAAGGTCAGCATGAAGAAGCCTTGAAGTTGCTGGGAGGTGCTGAGCATGTTATTCTGCAAGTTATTAGAATGGTGAGAAACTATTAGCTTCAAAGACATTTTCTATTCTACAAGTTTTTCTAGTGTTTAAGAGTCGATGAACGTAGTTCAGACTCTTATAAAGATTGCGATGATTTTTTTTTCCGGAGAAGTCTTGAAATTTGTTTAGGCTCAAATTAACTTTTTTGTCGTTTGACTTTTGATTTCTTTTCAAGTTCAATTCATTTCCTTTTTTAAAATGAAGGCAAACTCCGCTATCGAACAGCAAAAGTGTAAAGGTTACGAAAAACGTGATCGTCTTCTAGTTTTGAAATTGGAATTTAATTTTCAGATTTTCCACCGAAATAAAAAGTTTACTTATTGATCCAGTTTTCTCAAATTGGGTCAATTATATCGAAAAAGTACCAGTCATAATTTTTTATAGAAATTCAAAGAGTTTTTAGGGCATCTATTGTTTCTCTTAGTTTAGAAAGTTGTGATTTTTTCGAAAAACAAGTCGGTACTTTTTTCTGTTTAATTGCGTACCTTGACTCTTTTCAATTTGTCTGTTTTGTTGGCTACGTTTTTTCTATTAGAGGTTTTAGTTGGCGGTAAAAATATGACATTTAAGCATAATGAAATTGGTCAAGAAATTTACCAAAAGGCTATGATTAAATTTGTTTAGAATATTCCGAAGTACATTACCGAAATATGAGATTTCCGCTATTGTTTAGGTTGATGGCGAGAAAGATCCAAGGAACCTTCTTCATACGTTCCACCTAATTCAAATACTAGCCTCGTGGCGTCACTTACAATCCCATATGTACGTTTTAAGCGAAGAGCTATTCGAAGTATTTTCCTGTTACTTTCCGATCGAATTCAGAAACGAAGAGGAGGAAAAACTGGACAAGGAAATCGGAGTGTCCAGGTCAGATTTGAAGACGGCTCTGATGAATTGTTTTATGGCTACTGATTTGTTTGCAGAACATGCTATTCCTTTCTTCCTGGATAAGCTGACAGCTGAAGTTATATTGGCAAGTATTTTGAGGCAAATTTGAAAATTTGCGAAACGTAAAATAATGAAAAGGTTTTGAGCAGAAATTTTAAAGTTTGCTTGAATTGCCACATGTTTTCTGTTTTGTTGAAATGATCTAATATGGCGTTTGACTTTCTAAGATTTAAAAAAGTTAGATGACCGTTGAAAAGATAATTTCGGTAGTTTAAATTCCAATGTTAAGTAACAACTGTTTGCTAATAAGATCATAAGCGATAACTGAAATAAGAGATTACCAAAGGTGACAAATGCTCCGAAGGTTAGTACCTGTCAACTAAGTCTAGCATCGGTGTAGAGTTGGTCGATTGACAGATGTTATCATGAACATAAACTAAACGATAAGTGAACTAATGTAATCACTATGACATTCCCCTTGATATGAAATGAAATTGTACAAGTACAATGAATGATGGTTAATGACACAGAAAGTTTTAATGGAAGTTTAAAGGCTCATCATGTTAAAGGATAAATGAATTGAAATTAAAATGACTCCATGATGGAAAATCAAGTACTCAAAATGTTAGTTTTATGAACGGGCATGAAGGTTTAATAACTGAATTTTTGAATTTTGACTGATCCAGTCAGCCCTCTCCTTGGACTTCGTCGGCTTTTCAAAATGTTTTCAATTACTTTGTGTTTCCCCCTTGTAATATCTGATCGATCATCACTCCCCCATCTTAGTAACCGCAGTGCGTTTTCTTCCACTTTCTCGTGATGTCGTATATTGAATACTGCTAATGGAATCTTGGCTCGAATATGATACCAAACGTTTTTTTTTCCTTTTTCCTTAGGTCCACCGATTTTATCCGAAGGCGCACTAGTAGATTGCACCATCGGTGGCTCATCCTCTTCGATCGCGTCGTCCGTTTTTTCCGTTTTAGAAATTTCTTCTTTCCCCGCTCGTTTCGGTCCTTGCTTCTTTTCTCGTGTTCCGCCTTGTTTATCACTATTTTCCGTAACATTTGCCGCGCTAGCCTCTTCTTCCGATTGTGCCCCTTGTGGTTGAATTTCTGTTTGGGCATCCTCCCGATTTTCCGGTGGCATTGTCGCCACCGGTAGTTTCCCTGACGCCGTTCTTCGCGTTATCAGTGGCTGGTGGTCCTCCTCGTCCGATTCTGTCTCGTTATTCGGCTCGAATCGCCGTCCCTTCGGGGCCTCGTGCTTGGCACATTGGCGGCCAGTTTGTTCCGCAAACCCTGTGGCGTAGGAGGTTTTGGAATTTGTTTCCTGACGTTCCTTGCTATTGCGGGAGATTTCTTGATGGCAAGTCCAGATTTCCTAAGTAGATGACCATTACTCATTTTTAACGTGTGTTCGCTTTCCGCGACAATTTGATGTTTGAGTAATCTACACCTTTTTGTATTTTTATTTCCGGTTTGCTGGAAGACGGACACCAATGGCCCTGCAGTCTCGATGGAATCTGCCGTGACCCTTGCTGATGGCTCGTTGTCCTGATTCAGGCTCTGCTATCACTTAAGAGGAGAGGGTGATTACGTCTATTTCCGTTCTCCGAATCGGATCTGACCCCCCAATTAGTGTCCGCTGGGCTGGCCATATCTCCGTTGCTGGGTCTCGTTGGTCTAAACAAGTAGGTTTAGATTTAATTACGTTTGACCAGTTCAGGTTTCTTAAGGAGGGTTTTTTTGTTAGATTTCTTAAAACTGTATTGGCCTCTCAACCGTGATGAGCTTCGAATGGAGTTATCTATAGAGTGGCGTTTTTTGAGAATCGTAACGCTCCGAGGGCCCTTTCCCGCATTTTCTCTAAGGGTTCCATTTTTCTTCCTGCGCATAAGTTAAGATCGAGTTTTTTAAACTGCCAATTGTTCGTTTAACACACCCTGTAGCTCGGTGATCGTTGACTGGAGATTGCATTATTTCGATTCCCTCGCTGTTGCAAAATGTTTTCAATTCTTGCGACATAAAATTGGTACCTTGATCCACATGAGTTTTCCTTGGTACACCGTGATCGTTTATGTTCTAGGCAATTTCAAAATTTTATCCGAGCGATTATTTCCGCAAACCATTGCCTTTCCGCAAACCATTCGGCTACTATGACATACATCCTAGATTCCTTTAAGTAATTAATCGGCCCCCAAAAGTCTAATTGTAGTGATTCATTTGGTTCTTTTGATTCTGGAATGGTTTCTAAATCTTCTTTACTACACATAGTTTTAGGATTCTTACCAGCTGCGGTGCACTCTGCAATTTTCGGCCATCGCCGCAATGTTCCTATGAATATAGGGGAACCAGACATCTTTGGCTGCCGCAAACATATTTGATTTGCCATCATGATAGTAGTGCAGTCTGTTATTAATGGCTTTGTGTAGGATATTAGGTATTACTAATTTATCGTCCATCCGTAGCATTTTGTCGCGTACGTGAAAATCATTGACAAATTGTGAATAGTAACGATTCATGTTGTGCACCTTTTGTTGTATATCCGGGTCCTTTGCTTTCACCATTTCGTAAATAGCTTGTAGTTGTGGGTCCGATGCGTGTTGTGACTCGATACATTTTAGGTTAAATAATTCCGGAAGGGTGGTATTCTTCTGTACAATTTTACAATTTTTTGGCACTATTGACATCACACAGTTTTTCGGGTTCACCGTTGGAAAAGTTTCTCCTGAAAATGCCGAAGGAATAGATAGTACAGTATTCGTTTTAATCACAGTCGTCGCCGTCGTAATCGCTTGCAGTGTTGGGTTTCCGTCTTATTCTTCTATTTCATTTTTGCTCTCGCTTGTGTCAATACTCGGGTGTCGTTCCAAAACTCGTTTTGTTTTTCGAAATGCTTTTTCCATGTTGTTTGAATGTTTGATAAATTTGAATTGTTTATAAGGAGTTCGCCTCTGTCTTTTAAATTAGTAATCGCTCCAACTATTTTTAGATTTCTTCCGCCTAACCGTCGGCTTCCCTGACGTGGTTGATTCCGATTGGCTGAGCCATTTACACATGTTACTTCGTCCTCTCGCGGTTGGAATGGGACATAGTTTGCTGTATTTCTATTGGGTGAAACTTGCTTAGGTGAGGCATATTGCTGATTTATTTTCGGTCCTCCGGATGACAACGAACTCTTTAATCCAAAGGTGCGATTAATCGAATTAATTTTCGCGACGGTAAACATGCTATCATACTGTGAAACAGGCTTGGCAAGACTGCTAGGGCTTCCAGATAGGTAATCTGCTAGGCCAATTTTTGCCCCCGGTTTGTATTCCACCGAGAAATCGAATGGAAATAATCTATCTAACCATCTGGTTAGGCGGCTGAACATTGTTTTGTTTTTCCCGTTTAACAATGATACAAGAGCCATATGATCTGTAACGATCAAAAACGTTCGCACCAACGCATAATTCCGAAAATATTCCGCCCTCCCATAACTGCTATCATCTCTAGTTCATTTGTTGAGTATCGTTTTTTGGCGTCATTCAGGTATCGCGATGCAAAAGAGATCGGTCGCCATCCCTCTGTTCCGAGTTGCTCGAGCACGGCTCCTAATCCGTTATGACTTGCGTCACAAACTATTCGGATGTCTTTATGAACATCGAATTGTTTTAGCTCTACGATGTTTGCGACCTGTGTTTTTAAGTTATCAAATGACGCCTGACATTCCGGTGTCCACACGTATTCATTTTTCCGACTAAGTAAAGGGCGTATCGGCATCGAAGATTCTGCAAGCGCCGGCATATACTTATGCAAGCTGTGGATTGATCCCATAAAACATTTGCGCGGTGACAACGTGCGCGGCGGTTTAAAAGCTTCGATAGGTGCAGTTTTCCGAACCAATGGGGTTTTGCCTGCTGACGTGATCTTATGTCCGAGCCATTCACATTCACGTTGCGCAAATTTATAATTTGACAGTTTTAACGACATAATTTCTTCAGAATCTTTTCGACCGTCGAGATATGTTCGATTTCTGACCCTTTCGTTGTAATTAAAATATCGTCAATGTGCCTGTGCAAATTCCGACAAAATGGAATCCATCACTCTTTGGAATTCCGCCGGCATAGTTTTTAAGCCGTAAAACCCCGTTTTAAAACGATATGTTCCCGGCGATCTTCCCCCAACTAATGAAAAATTACATTGAACGCTAGTTTCCGGAATGAGTGGTATTTGGCCGCATGCGTAAGTTAGATCCATCGTAGAAAAATAAATATCACCTACCTTTTTTTCGGTAATCGTTTGGCCGACCGTGTCCATTAGTTCCTCGATATTCGGCATTTGATATTTATTTTTGTGGACTTGCTTGTTTAATTCCGGGGCCTCTAGCGCTAGCTTCACCGATCCATCTTTCTTTACCGTTCTCACTATTGGAGAGACGAAATATCGGTCCGAACAATCAACAAGTTTTTCTATATGCCCTTGTTGCAACAGCTTGTCTATTTCCAGATCTACTTTTTCTTGCAACGTTATTGGTACACGCCTACCCTTTTGTTGGATCGGTACGAGAGTTTTAAAAAAATTCTGCTTGGACCTTAATGTCGGTTTTTGACAACACGTGTAAAAAGTTGTGTAAACTGCTTACTTAAGTAGTCCTGCCATTGATCCAGATTGTTTTCTCCCTCGGTTTGCTCTTCATGAATCTCCATCACCGGCTCCCTTGGTGCCCTTTGAACCAGCTGTAGCCGCAATTCAGCCATAAGATCCCGACTAATTATTGACGGGCGGTTTCCTCCAATCACTTCGATGGCTGCTACCGTCTTCCACCCGTTTGAAGTCAATTGCACGGTCATAGTCTTCAATAGGCTCAGCGGATTGTTATTGTAATCACGGAATTCTTGATCCTCTGGTGCTAATTCACTTAGATGTACTCCGGTGGTGCCCAATGTCCTCCTTAGCTCACCAATTGTAAAGATAGATATTGGCGACCCGCTGTCAATCCATACACTCGTTCTCTTTCCATGTCTTGCGATCGGCAGTTTAGCACCTGCAACCCTCAATTCTGTTTTGTTTCTTGTTTTAATAGACATGACTAAATAATCCCCCGAACTGTCCGAGTCCTAAGATTGATGTTGTTTTGGAGGCGAGGTGTTAACCCATTCCACCGAAGTGTCTTGTTGGGATACGTTTTCGTCCATGTCCTCCTGATCGTACTGGTAATGATCGTCCTGCCCTTGGATTACCCCGACTGATTGGCGCCCTCGGCTGTTACTTTTAGCTCGACACGTTCGCTCAAAATGGCTTATTTTCTTGCAAAAATCACAAGTTGCTCCGTTCGCGGCGCATTCGTTCATATGGTCCCTAGTGAAACCGGGTTTATCGCAATTGTAGCCTTTCCGTTCGCCTGTATTTCACCCTCCTCAGAATTGTCTACTTCCTTAGTTCTGTGCTGTTCCGCGCCCTCGGCTATTCCGATATCCCCCTCGAATTGCACACACTGGTTCTGTTTTAGTTTGAAATCCTCCTGCCATCGGTGCGCTTGTTCCACCGGCGCCTCCGGACGTCGACACATGTCTTCGCATATTTGTCTCCCCTTTCGTAGGACAGCGCTATCCGGTATGCCTTCTCCGGTGTTTTCGTTTCGCGACATAGCTCGTTTTGGGCCTCCCTGTTTGTCATATTTACAATAAATACATCTCTGAGTATCCTGGACTCCGACGTTCCAAACAAACACCGGGCTGCTAGCCCGCTAAGAATAGAGTGGAACTGCTCCAAAGATTCACCGATACGTTGTTTGCGAGAAAGTAGTTGGAACACATCGTACGTCTCATTCCTCTCCTTCTTAAATTCTTCTTATCGCATCCAACACCCTTGGATATCTCGTTGTCGTTAAATCCAAATGGGGCCTTCTTTTATGGAATTCGTCTCGTCCTTTTTCTCCGAGACACAAGTATAAGTTTGATATCAACGTCTGTTCCGACTCCAATCATGGTTTCCCATCCACCTGTGGTGCTAAGGCCGCGATTTGTGCCGCCGTAAGGTTATCAGCAAAGTAGAAATTTTTCGGATTCAATGAGTGTTTTGCTACCATCCCCCACTGGAAGCGATTTAGCCAGAATTCCCACAGCATTGGTGTCTCCGCGCATTTTGGTGGCCAAAAAGACTTAATGCTTAATTGATTTTTCCCCCACCTTGATTTGCTGGCTGCGCCATATTGTAAAGATAATTTCGGTTGTTTAAATTCCAATGTTAAGTAACAACTGTTTGCTAATAAGATCATAAGCGACAACTGAAATAGGAGATTACGAAAAGTGGCAAATGCTCCGAAGGTTAGTACCTGTCAACTAAGTCTAGCACCGGTGTAGAGTTGGTTGATTGACAGATGTTATCATGAACATAAACTAAACGATAAGTGAACTAATTTAATCACTATGACATGACTAAATTTTTAAACCTTGCGGTTGCGGTTAGCAAGCGTTATCAAATCGGAATATAGACTTTTTTCAGGTTAACAATTAATTTAACAAAATCAATGAATCATTTGTGCAACATTCGATTCTGCAGCAAAATTTCTCAATTTCTTGAAAATTCAAATTTAACTACTGGTACGAAAACTAGTGAACGGCTAAAGGACTATGCTCGAATCCGATCAGTACCTGTTTTTTTTTTAGCCTAAAATATTTATATCGAACAATTATCGGCCGATGGGTTGTCTGCTTATGGGTTGTCGGCTTAGTTTCCTTTTTTAAAACTTTTTTGTGTTGTATGATATAATATTGTAATTGAAAAGGTTTTTTGAATCTTTGATGTAATTTGTAATTCTTACATTTGCCATTTCCGAAAGCAAGTGTCATGTAATCGGTGACTAGACTTTCTTTTCCGCGAACAACTTTTCTTACACACTTGTAATTGAATTGATGGTGCTTTATTATCGAACCTTAGCAAATTCCAGGCCCCATTGCACTTGGTCTAGAGGTAATGCAGTTGCCTTTGAAACCTAATGTCAGGGGTTTGAGTCCCGGCCGGATCTTTTTTCAGTGAAATTCAAATTTTTTCCGCCAAAATTGATAAATCGGATTTTAATTTGTCAGCTTAGTTGCAACTCCAGTTTTTTTGCGCTGTTAGCAGTTTTCCTCGTAGTTAATTGATTCCTGTAGTTTTTAGAAATTAAAATGGCTGACTGGTATAATTTTTTTTTTTTTTTGTTTTTGTTTTTTTCGCATAGAAGTTTTATTTGGCCTAAATGATTTTCTGTTTTATTTTGTCGGCTTAATGAATATATTTGGCGTTGGTAAAAAAAGGTTTTTATTAAATCAGGTTGGTTGATAGTATAAAAGTTAAAAGTGCAAACTTTTTAATCGCTCAAAATTTTTATTTGTTAATAATTTCCTTTGACATTTTTTGCTTTCGGTTTAACTGGTGTCTAACCAGGCTTGTCTGTTTAGTGAACGCTTGAAAAAAACTAAAATCTCGCTTATTGCTAGTGGTTGTGTTTCTCGTCTGTTTTTCTGAGATACGATTTTCGTATTTCGAAAAAAGTTGATTTTTTTTTGAAAACCAGTTCCTTTGGTAGCTTCTCGTTTTCGGATCGTTCGGTGTGTAACCGGGTGTTGCGCCTTAGTGGACGCTCAAGAAATGTTTTAACATTCCTTTATGCTAGTTGTTTTGTTTTTCGTCTGTTTTTCTGAGATTAATTTTTTGTTATTTCCAAAAAAAATGTTGAATTTTTATATGACAACCATTTTCTTTCGTATTTTTCTTTTCGGATCGATCGGTTTTTAACCACGTGTTGTGGCTTAGTAGACGCTCGAAAATTAGTAAAAACTTGCTTAATGCTAATTGTTGTTTTTCTCGTTTGGTTTTCTGAGATTGAATTTTTCGTATTTCTATAAAATGTTGATTTTTTTTGTGAAAACCATTTCCTTTGGTATTTTTGTTTTCATTTTCGGATCAGTTGGCGTCTAAATTAGTGATGTGGCTCAGTGGTCGCTCAGAATTGCTTAGTGTTAGTTGTTTTGGTTCTTTTCTGTTTTTCTGAGATTGAATTTTTTGTATTATCCAAAAAAAAATGTTGATTTTTTTTGTGAAAATCATTCTCTTTGGTATTTTTGTTTTCAGATCAATTGGCGTCTAACCGTGTGTTGTGGCGTAGTGGACGCGCAAATAATGTTTAAACCTTGCGTAATGCTAGTTGTTGTAATTCTCGTTTGTTTTTCTGAGATTGAATTTTGCGTATTTCCAAAAAAAAAATAATGATTTTTTTTACTATTTCCTTTGGCATTTTTGTTTTCGGATCGATTGGCGTCTAACGAGGGTTTGTTGGCTTAGTGGACGCTCGGAAAATACGAAAAGTTTGCTTAAAGCTGGTGTTTGTGGTTCTTGTATGTTTTTCTGTGATTGAATTTCAAGTTTTCTCACTTGAAGTTTTTTTCACAATTTTTTTCCATCTTGCTGACCATTTAGTAGTTTGCAATGGTACGCTTTTGTTGTATCGCAAGGGATGCGACGCTCCGCTTCGCCTTTGTGTTAAAATTGTTTTGGTTGGCCTTTGTGTTAAAATTATGTCAAATTTTTAAGGATTATTTGAAATATTGCGTCAGCTGTGGTTGTGGGATGTTAATTTCTGAAGTTATCTTGGTCCGTTTTTATTATAACTGTTGTCTTTATTACACTAGCAAAGCTCTCTTTTTTCCATTCGGTTGTCTGTATTACACAAAAGTGTGAACGCTCTTTTTTTTGCAATCTAAGTCGCAAATGTTGTTGCGACGCAAATATTGTAGCGACAAAATCGTTCATTTTTTATCAATAACCAGCTATTACATACAGCCAATGCTGAGGATATTAACACAGACTTTTATATTACAAATAGCACTTTAGCTTCAAGGTATCATGGATCTGTAGCGTAGAGGTAGGGAAGGAGACCAGCAGCAAAATAGGAGGGTTCGAACCTAGGCAGGGTCGGATGGTTTTAATGAACTTTTTCGTATACTAGTTAAAATGCGACCGCTCTATAAATTGAGGCATGTTAGTTGGCATTTTTTTTTGAAATTGACTGTTACTGCCAATGCGCCATAATTGGCTTGCGGCGTCACTTAGCAATTATGTAGACTCATAATTAGCGTGCGTCACTTAAGAAATTTTGTAGACTCAAAGTTTTACTCATTCAGTTTTCCCAGTAGCGTTAACTGTCATATTTTTGCTTGTGTATGCGAAGTGCAACTTCGCCTCTCGGTAAATCATTTCTGTCTTTTATGAAAGCAGGGCGCTTTGTGTTTCAGTGCAAAGTAGATACATTTGAAGCCCTCAAAAAATGCACGAAAAAGTATTTGCTGAGTCAAGACGAAATGAAATTTATTGAGTATTCCCAGCAGCTGTGGTTTGGCATGTTTTCAGAACTGACCACTAGCGGAAACGAACTTGTGCTCAAAGAGTGTTATGAATACTTTGCTAGCTTTTTGGAAGTGATTTTTGACAAAACTGTCAAATCGGACGTGCAGATTGATGTCATGAAAGTCATTCTCAAAGATACAACCAGACATTTTGCCGGAGTCGGAACGAAGACGCACAAATTGACATTGTGTCTTTTTGTACAATGCGTGCCTCATGTTGCGACTTCAGATGCTGACTTTGGCTTTTTCTTCGAAGAAGTTTTGGGAAGTATCGTGAAAACGGCAGTGGAGTCAACTCATCAATTAAGCAAGGTCTGCTCAATCTGAATTATTTGACTTCAATGTGTTTTTGTTATTTACAGAAAAGTTTAATGATAAAATTCTGGTAAAAACACAATTGATGAGAATTTTATTGATTTGTTGTAGTGTCTTCCTTCTATCAACAATCTTCTAGAAGCTCTTTCCAAATACCCCCAAATCAAATTTCCATCAGAAACTGAGGAAAAACTGAACCGTCTACTGTTTCTTCTGATGGAAATCTTTCAATCAGCGAGCGAAAAATTAACCTCGGAAGACCGAGTCAAAGATTGTCTGACAGGGTTGACGCATTTGGTGAAATTTGACTTGATATCTAAAGCTGACGGGTTTCTCCTTGTTTGTTGGACTGTCATGACTTCTGCTTATTGGAAACTGATGTCAAATGAAGCGAAATCTCAAATGAACTTTCTTGATCTTTATTTGAACTTATTTAAAGCTATGTTGAAGAATTGCAGTAACGAGACTTTGAATCTAGCTTTTCAGCAGTTGGTGCATCAGAAACAGAATCTTTTGGAATCGGGCGACAAAAGTAGATCTCTAATCGATTTACAATTTTACCTGATATTGATGCAATGTCCGTGTGAGTTTGTTGCATCATATGGAATGGCATTGGATTTGCATCTGGACTGTTTGCAGCGCGTCTCTTTTACGCGAGATAGTGAAAGAGCCATTTGCAAAGAAGTTAGGGCAAGGACGGAACAGGAGGTCTTTTCATTCTTTCAACACGGTGAACTAGTGTTTGTTAACCGCATTGCCAAGGTATGTATTTAAGAAAGATACTGAATACGTTTATCCACGAGGGTCAGGAAGAATATACGAGCTGATCTTTAACCGCTGTTGTTCTTGGCTAGTTTTGCTTCAGCCTTAAGAATTGTTGCCCCGCAAATGTAATGGGCTTGAAATGGTAGATGCTCTCGACTACCATGAGTCGTGTTCGTTGATTGGGACAGTAGTTCCAAGCGAGTATCAACCAAAAATTTATGCGTACAAAAAAACATTTTTTCGGAATGAGGTGAATAGTTTGTATTCGCGTCATTTTCCTCTTGAATAAATGGTTGTTAATCTAAATTCTTTTTTTCTGAAAAATAAAACCTCGTATTAGTCATATTCGCGCAAGTTTCTCAATTAGAGATGCAATAAATTATTCTCCTTGTTTTAGAAAATTCTGACGAATTTCAAAAGCTGTATTCAAGAAGAATCACCTAAACTGGAAACTAGGTCGCAGTTTCTTTCTGATTTGCTGCTGGTGTTAACACAGAAGCTCGAAATTAACGATTTTGACCAAGAGTTTCAAGAAATTTCCGAGAAAGTTCTCTCCGAAAAAAGTGACTGCTTCAATGATACTATTTTTTGCGCCTATTGTCTAAGCGCAACGGAGAAATCATTAGCAAAGCAGAATTGTATCCCTTTTATTCTGAGTAATCACGATAAGTTTTCATCTCTTTTGCCTGTTCTGATCAACCGATGTGAAGATCTAACACAATATATGAGCTACCTTGATATGATTGGCCGAGAAGACTTCATCTTAAACGACCAAGCTAAATGTTGCCAATTGTTGATGACGTGTCATGCACTGATTCGACGTGGATATTTGAAGCGACCAATTACAAAAGCGCTTCTTGAGAAATATTTGGGATCTTTGGATGATGGTATGGGAAACTATTTAGCAACTAATTCTTCGATGCTCGTTAATGGTTTTGATGAAGAAAGAGCTGTCAAACTGAAATTGAAAACTAGGCCGATGTTTGTGCAACAACTGGCCTATGAATTGGTGCCCCAAATTTTGGATTTGAAAACCCGGGTCTCACACGACGATGACCCTGCACAGGTGATTGAATGGTTTTTTGTCATCTTAGTTTCCTTATTTCTCAGTATAATTTCGAATGCGTCAAGGGTTAAATAAAGCTAGCATGATTTTTTGCTGAAAAACATATTTCATTCCTTTTTCATTAAAAGTGTGCACGGGAAAAAATATATCTTTCTATTCATCTATCCAATCTAGCTATCTATCTATCTATCTATCTGTGATATCGCTTAGGACCAAAGTAACTAAGTGAAGACAAAGTGTAGATTTCAGACGTCAAATTAATATGAAATCTTTGTTTTTTTCTACATAGTCTAAGTGCTGTTCTGACTGAGTTCAGTAACTGCGTACTGGAGAACTGAATTCAGTCATGTTACATTTAAGGTCAGAATAATATAACCTTGAAACAATAGTAACAATATATTCATATAGATAGACATATGCACCTCTCAAGGTTACTGTAGCGTGGCTGCAGCTGCAGCTACTGTACCACACTCCCGGAGGACAAATAAATTTTATATCATTACAATAAAATTTTAAATAATACAATATGAGTTTTGAAGCTCGGTTTAATGTGTTTCGAACAAATTGAGTCCCTTGGCTCTTCTCCTTTTTTCCAGTTTTAATTCTTTCTTGACTATTATTTTCCCTCCTCTTCTTCCTCCGTCGACTCAAACCGCAGTGGAAGTCGCCATGGCGCATTCCATGATCGCCTCATATCCAATGATGCATATCCGAACTTCCTTCGGAAATTATGTCGTTCGAAAAGACCCATCTTTGTTTCTGTAGGTTTGTTCGTGTGGGTTTCAAATATCGCGAGCTTGGGGCGGTACACCTCCAGAGCTGCTTTATTTAGATCCTTTATATCGGCCTCCAAACAGATTAATTGCACTGAATGTTTAATGGGATCGCCGTACCTTCTGGGACCCTGGTTCTTCATTTGGCGGCCACTTCGTCTAATCGGGATTGCAGTATCATGTTCGTCTTTATTCGATTTGTCTGAGAAACCTGGCGTTGTATCTAGCTGGCTTTCCAACGCTGTCTCTTCACTCTACCGAGATGTGAGGATATCTTCCGCCGTTTTCTGCACCCCGCGTTTCAGTCCCTGGTCCGCCATCTCCCACTCGTCTTTTGTCATATCTTGATTCTGAAAGGCTTCCAGGATTGCCTCTGGGGTTGTCTGGCGGCTAATCTCTTTCAATGTTTCCGGTTATTTGATCGGGGTGGACGATTTTGAGTTGGTTGATTCCGATGAACCTGGAATTGATGCGGTGTTTTGGGTGTTGTCTTTGCTGTTTACGACTGCTGAAACAGCTTTTGACCGACGTGCTTCCTGGACTGTAGGCTTTCTATCTTTTTTCACAGGGCTACTGTCGTCCTGATGTTTCGGCACCCTCAAAATCGGACCGGCATTATTAGGCTTGGCCTTTTCACCGCGAGGCTTAGTCCTCCCCCTGTCTCGGTGTCTGTAGAAGTGACTCTCGATGGACTATCTTGAAAACATTTCCTAGCCATATCCCTTTCCGATTTTGGTTGCTGTAACTGCTCGTCGTCAGAATCTTCCCGTTGTGGACTGTTGTTTTTCTTTTGTTGGTTGTGTTTAGGCACATCGCTTTTAGTATTCTTTGCATTTCTCGAGTTAATCTGTTTTTCCGATGGGGTTACTTTAGTTTTCGATTGGGCAATATCACTTTTGCGATAAATTGCCCCCGCTGCTGTTTTGACAGTAGACGGCGTCTCAGACGTTACTCTCCCCTTCAACGGATAGGTGAGAGCTTTTTCACTCTTTCAGTTCTCGTCTTTTCTAAGCAAAATCGGTGACAAAGTACTGGGATTCTCTACTGGCTTGTCTTCTACGAAGCCCCGCTCCCACGAGTACAAAAGCTCATTTCGCAATTCCGGATTAATTGCACTCGTCTCGTCCACGATCCGTCGAATATCACTGGCCGATGCATCTCTGCGGGTGGCGTTCCAACGTGCATTAGCTTCAAGAAGAATCTGCAATGCCTTGGCCCGATCTGTCTTTTGAGGACTCGATTTGCTGCCCAAACAGTGGGCTAAAGTCTCGACTGTTTGCTCCTTTAGGCACGATCTTCACATTTTCTCGCAATTGATCGATTCGCTTTTTCAATTGAGAAGCCGTGAGTGCCGATCTCTCCAGGTGCTCTTTATCTAAACGGTCAGAGTTAACCAAAAATTTATACCTTAATATTTTAAATTCCGTTTTGAGAAGATGTCCAAAGTGAGCTTCGAACGGAGAGCGCTGTATAGTTTTTTGTTTAGTCCATCTAAGATCTCGTATTATTGTTCTTAGACAAAGCTTTGTTGACGCGACATTTTCATCCAAAAGCATTATTCCCAGTCTTCTCGATGGTTTGAATAGTTCGTTCGACCAACCCACATCCTCGGTGGTCTCCTACCGGACAAAATTTTTGCTCTATGCTGTTATCTGTACAGAGTTTTTTCATTGCTTTACCATTGAACCCGGAAAGTTGGTCAGTTCTTATAGATTCCGGTATTCCATTTGTGTCAATGTAAGTACGTAGGAACTTAATTGATGGTTTCCCCCAGTTGATTTAGTAATTTTCATCGTCGGAAATGTTGAATACTGGTCTATTGCTACCAGCAAATATATTTTCTTCCCTTTATGATCTCCCAAAGGTCCCGCATAATGTAATTGTAGTTCCTGACCCGGCTGCGTTAGCAGTGGTAGCGGTTTGGTAGCATTTTTACGAATGATATATTTAGCATTCTTACCATAGCGGGTGCAGCTTCTACATTCCTCAGCCAGGTTGACTATATCTTTGTGCATGTGCGGCCACCACAATTAATGGGTCACATTTAACATCGCCTCTTGACCGGGATGACCGCAATGAAATCTTTTTAGGACCGCTGGGCGCAACTGACATGGTACCATCAGCCGATTGTCAATCAGGATACAGTAGTCCATTACACTTAACTGATGCCACAGCGGATTGGTGTACGGATCCATGAAATCAAAGCTGTGGCGGTCGTTCCTCTCAATAACTATACGAAGTCGGTCAATCCAAGTATCCTCCGTGATAAGTTCCGCCAATAAATTTCTGTCAAATACTCGTGACAGATAGTCGAGCCCTCCTGGTATATCGTTCTTGGCTGCCCGGAGATCCTCTTTCCGTGAGTTATGGCTGATACGTCGTGACACCACACTAACTTCTTGACTGTCTTCCGCGCTATCTGCCGTGAGATCAACCTCAACGATGTTCCTCCATCAGTCCTGTAGCTGCAGTTTTCTTCCGCGCTTAAGCTGACCATTTCCGAGTGGGCCTCAAATTCGAGCTTGTTTTCCGGTCTGTCAGATCTCTCCTTGCCGATAAGATCACAGAACGAAACTAACTTTGGTATTATTTCTTCGCCACCGCTGATGAAGAGGTTCCAGTCTCCTTAATCGCAACCACCGATGAAAAAGCTCCAATGTCTTCAACAGCAACCCCTGATATAGAAGATCCAGTCTCCGCTTGACTTTTTATGGGTTTTCCCATTGTTTTCCACACAACGTGTGGGATATCCGAGTCCGAGCTATCCGAATCTGCCTCTGTTCGTCTCCGCTCCCCGTTTAATCAACCGGGTTCTTTGGAAAGTCGTTTCCACGACTTCTTCCGTCACCTGATTATGGTCACTGGTGTGTTTGTTATCACTGATCCTCACCATCTTCTTTGCTTTGTCTTTCTCTGACTTATCTTTGTCCTTGTCCATTTCTCTGTTTCTTTTTTCTGAATTTTTCGAGATTCTCTTGACCAACTGCTTTGAATGGATAAATTGCATAATTTGTTTGATTTCAATTTTGAAAATCGTGAGGTTTGAACGTTTTCGTTCCGGTCGAGACCTGTTCGTTTTGAACCTATTTGGTTGCTATAGCAACCGTGAGATGACGTGTTTTTTGTATTGCTACAACCAGTGTTCCTACCCGAATGTTCTAGAATCTCTTCGTTCCGTTAAGCTCGTTAGTATCATTTAGTCGGCTGTTCAAGCAGTAGAGAGCCTTATGAAAATTTTCAATTGATGTTACTACGAACTTTTCGTCTAGTTTACACTCTGGCCACGGTTCCCCTTTTGTCTCTTGATAGGTAATCAACTATTCACATATCCTTCCCAGGTATATGTGCTATCCTGAACTGATATGGTAATAATCTGTCGACCCACCTAGTGAGTCTAGATTGATACGTTTTATTCGAACGATTCTCACCCACAGCGGATGTGTGTGCTTTGTGGTCCGTAGCTATTATAAACTCCCTGCCCAAGAGATAATGTTTAAATCAATCAACTGCCCATACTACTGCTAGCTGTTCAAGTTCGTTTGTCAAAAAGTTTTTCCCTTGGGCATTCAAGTACCGTGATGCAAATGCGATGGGCATCCATTCCCCTTCCCCGTTTTTCTGTTCGAGCGTTGCTCCAAGGCCACTGTTGCTCGCATCACATTTAACACGTGTATCTCTCGAGGGGTTATAATTATTTATTTGAGCATTATTCGCCACCGTTTTTTTGATTTCTTCAAAGACAAGTGAATGTTGTTACCTCCATAAAAAATTTTTCACTGGCATTCTGATATTTTTCAGTTTCTATTTTTCGTTTTCGTCGCGTAATAATGGTCGAAGTTTATCCGTTAAACTTGCTGCGTGCGGAATTAATTTTGAAAGGTGATTAATATTGCCCATAAAGGACCGTAGTTGTTTCAGTGATTTAGGTGGTTTCAAATTAAGTATCTCTTCAGTTTTCGTTACGTTAGGAACAATACCACTTGGCGATAGTTTATGTCCGAGCCAGTTGATCTCGGTTTGAAAAAATTCGCATTTGGATAGTTTTAACACTAATTTTTCTTTTTCTAGTTTTTCCAAGACTTCCAATACTAGTTTTTAATGTTTTTTTTGTCCCCTTTGGAGACGATCAAGATATCGTCTAAAAACAAAATGCGTTCTAAGCATGGTTCAGCGTTCGATCCATGGCTTTCGGGAACTCAGCTGGCATATCCGCCAGTCCATAGAACCCTGTAAGGAATTTATACGTTACCGTTGCTTTTCCCCCCACGATGTTGAAATTGCAGTGTTTCGTTGTTTCCGCAGGCAGCTTAAGTTGACTATATGCATATTTAAGATCTGAGACCGTGAAATACAATGTACCAACTGTGTTTGCAGTAACAATTTGGCTTACTCCGTCTAGGAGTTCATCGTAGTTTGGTATTTGTTTTTGTACAACTGTCTAATAATAGGTTTAGCGTCCGAAGCCAATTTGATTGATTCATCTTTTTTTGACACTAATGACTATAGGGGCAATAAAATAATCACTAGTGCTTTTATCCAGTTTCTTTATATGTCCTTCTGACAACAATTTTGTTATTTCCGATTGGACTTTGTCCTGAATATGAATAGGGATTCTTCGACCTTTTGTATCGGACATAATGGGTATTTAAATTTTGTACTCATTGATTTTTTGATTTACCTTGACGATTAAAAAGCTTCGGAAATTTTTCATAAAATTGTTGTTTACAACCTTGTGACTGCTCGCACAGTAGCACGTCAAACCTCGACTTTTCTGTGGGTGCCTTCTTTTGAGTTGTGTATTCCTACGCTGCCCTGAAGATCTAACCCCAAAATGCATCTTGTGCGGCGTTCGGTGACCAAGAATGCTGCTCCTTTCACCTCCCATCCAGCTGACCTGATGTCCGCTTTAAGTGCTCCCAAAATCAAAATTGGTTGTTTATCATAATCAACAAACTGCGCTGATAAGTTTAGTCTTTCCGCGGGAATGAAGTTTGTTTCTGGGGATACCTCCAAGATTTGCTTAGTTGTTGCCCAGTTGAGAAACTACACTGGACTTCCCGTATCTAGAGTCATATTGATAATCTGGTTATCAATTCTGACTAAAGCTTTGTGCTTTTATTTGTTCCGTATGAGGGTTTCTCCTTATGTCACTTTTCTTTACATTTTGAGATTCTTTGCACCCTGTATTTCGATCTATTTTCTTTTCCAGTCGATTCGCAATATAATCTTCTATTTGCTTCACGGACATATCGTCCATTTCGGTTGACATGATCTCAAAATCATCACAGGAATCGAAACATCGAATGAGGTTACAATCTTCATCTGAACTGGATGCTTCTTCCGTCACTTCGTTTGTTTGTTGTGATCGGCACATTCTAGCGAATTGGTTTGGCTTATTACAGTTTTTGCATGTTTTCCCATAGCTGGAACAATTCTTCAAATGTTTTTCCCTGAATCCCCGAATGTTTTTCCACATCTTGTACACAATTTCAGTTCTGATCGTGGCCTCGTATTGCTTCTGACATCGATTGTTTTCCGTTTATACGATTCTCGGTTTGGTCGCCTGCTGTTTTTCCCCTGTTGCCAACTTCCATAGTAGGTTCCTGTTTTATTTTCACTTGCGATCCTATGAAATTTCCTGCACTTGCAGTATTGGCATACGATTTTTGGAATGCTTGCGTCGTCTGTTTGCTTTGTTCGAACTCTAGCGCTCGCTTCAGGACCTCGTCCGGCCTAAACGTCTCAAATGTCAACGTATCTTGTAATACTGTGATATTCATTTTCGAGATAAATAAATCCCTAGCAAGTTCGTCTTCTAATATGCCTAGCTCTGCTTTCGCTGCTTGTGCAGTCAGAGCAGTGTGGAAAGATTCCAACGACTCTCCTGCTTCCTGTGTTCTCGTGAACAATTTGTACCTCTCATTTGTTATACTTTCCGTTTCTTCAAATGATGTTTTAGCTTAAGTCACAATTTCCCGGAACTCAAGCTTCTGTATAAGGATTTTTCGGAACAAACCGTTTCTTCCCTTCTGTCCCTAGTGCTACGAATAGTCTCGAAGCGATTCGCTTTTGGACTTCATTGTAGAACACGTTGTGCCGCACCTTTGGTTCTCTCTCCTTTTTCTCTTCATTTTCTAACACGACTCTGTCTCTCATTAGTTTATCCCTTATTTCTCTTTCCGCTAATGCTTGCGCGTACTCATTCTTTCTTGGTGTTTTTGGTCGAGGAATTGGTTCTTCTATGATGGCTTTCGGGTCTTCTAACAGCACTTCTGGGTTCACATTTTCTTTCACCGTCATGGCTAACAGAAATTGGTCAAACCAAATTTTAAAATTCCATGGTGAATCCGAATTTGCTGAAGTCCAAAAAACAGGAATACCCATGTCGGTTCTATTGTCTTAGGACACGAATCCTGCTGGCTGCGCCATGTGATATCGCTTAAGACCAAAGTAAATGAGTGAAGACAAAGTGTAGATTTCAGAAGTTAAATTATTATGAAATCTGTTTTCTTTTCTACACAGTCTAAATGCTGTTCTGACTGAGTTCCGTAACTGCGTACGGAAGAACTGAATTCAGTCATGTTACATTCAAGTTCAGAATAATATGACCTTGAAACAATAGTAACAATATAGTTATATAGATAGACATATGCACCTCTCAAGGTTACTGTAGCGTGGCTGCAGCTACTGTACCACACTACCTATCTATTTATGTATCTATCTCTGTCTAACTATGCTTCTATCTATCTAGCTGTCTAACTATTTATATATCCATCTATCTATCTATTCATTAAATTGATTGGAGTTTTACTTGATACATGATGTTTACCCATGCGATAAGCAAGGGTATTGCAATCGGGTACTAGACTTTTTTCCCGTAAACATTTGTTCTCTAGTGTACTTCTGAATTCATAGCTGGTGGTACCTTGTTTCATTATTAATTCAAATTCTTAGTGGTCCCGACCCACTTAGCCTGGAGGCAACGAATTCGCCTGGTACGGCAAATTTCCTGATTCGAATCTGACCAGGACCTGTTTTTTTTCAAGCGAGAAATATTCCGTTCAAAACAAAAATGAAGACTTATTATGTGTCTGCTTATGCTTTGTCGGCTTATTCTCCACATCGTAAAATTGTTTCTTTTTGCCATGGACAATTACATTTTAGTTGTTCTTAGTGTTTTGATTTACTTCTGCTGTTTGTTATTTTTTTTTTCAACTTATGTTTTCTTTGTTATTGTTTGGCTTAATTTATTTTCTGACCAAACTATTTTCGGCTTATTTTTTATCGGCTTAGTGACCTAATGTTGAGTGTTTTCAAGTGAAACGTATTTCTTATGCTCGCCTCAGGATCGCACAAATTGCTAAAATTGTAGCCTTTTTTCGGCCTATTTAGTTTTGGCCTATTTGATATCGGCTTAATAGCCTCATATTTCGTTTGTCGACCACCAAAAAAAATTGTGTGCATTTGTGTTTTAAAGCTGAGGAGGACTTTATAGTTTTTCTGAAGTCTTAAAATTTTTTGATTTGTTTTTTTTTAGCTTTTTCGTTTTCTTTTCCTTTATTTTTGGTCCTAACTGGTTTCGGCCTATATTTTATCGGCTTAGTCGCCTCATATTGTTTCATTTGACGAGCAATTTAAATTTCGAGCAATTTTGTTTGTTTTGAGGGGGCTAGGGTTACTTGTTAACTTTTTGTATGTTAAGTTTTGATAAGTCTTAAGTCTCGTTGATTTTTTATTTCGGCTTAAAGGACTTCTGCTAAGATTTTTTCGGGTTTGTTACCGCTTGATAAATTTTCTTCCGCTGCTAATTTCACCTTTTACTGACTACGCAAGTTGTTGGTTTTTTTTTAAAGTAGCTTGATTCATTTTGATAGATCTAGATATTTTAAATTTTTGATTTTTTTTCCGACTTAGCGGCTTTCTTGTTTTGTATCGCAAAGGTGCGAAGCCTAGCTTCGCCTCTGTTTGGAAAAATGTTAACATGGTAAAATGCTAATAAATAAACTTTTACTGAAGTCAACCTTTTGAAAATTCATCACCAGTGCTATCTACATTTTTCATCAAAGGTCTGTTGAGCGTAAATGCCTCAGCCCTATGGTCTGTTGTTTTCTCCTTTTTTTGCAACACAAAATTTGGAAATTCTGACTTCACAAAAATTGAAGTTAGAAACCCTGTGGTTGGGAGCGGATCTCTCCAAAAAACTCTGAGGGCTCAAATTTTTTAGGGCCTCCAAATTTGATTTTCAGTTAGCGAGGATTTTCAAAGTATTCAAAAACTTAAAAAAAAACAATTGAAAAATTTCGCAATCATGTGGAGGGGTGCTGCCAGGGTACTTTCACGGGTTGAAAACCTGTTCTCCTTATATGACCTCTCATAGTAGTATAATTTCCGAGGTATGACTTTTTCTCTTTGAAATAATTTTCAAAAAAGATAAGATAAAAAAAAAACTTGAAAACTTTTAATACGCAGATGTGAAAATTCTGAAACCTTTGGATGTTTAACGATTGCTAAAATCTGAATTTTTTTTAAAGCGTTCGATTCGTGCAACAGAAAACGCTGTTGCATGCCACCAGTCCATTTTTATGGTCGCATTGTTTTATCTTATATATTTTAGGAAGCAATTCACGTTCACAAATCTACTTTGAAGAACCGTGGGTTCGAGTGAAGCGCCAGGCGCGAGTCGATGAACGTAGTAAAGGTTCTTATATAGGTCGTGGTTATTTTTTTAGAGCCTAATGTATTTTTCAGATTTTTCAGCGAAATAAAAACTAACCATTAGACTAGTTTTCTCAAGTTGCGTTAATTTTGTCGGATCTTGTTAACAATTTCCCCCCTATTGCAATGTGGAAGGGGGGGTTTGATAAATTCCTTCTTTATAGAGGGAGAGATTCGTTTCGTTACAAGGTACCATAGGGTGGGGGGAAATAGTTAACAAGATCCATTTTGTCTATCTATTAACATATCAACAAAAAAACTATGTGAGTCACGAAATTTGGTGAAATCTGTTTAGGGTAACTGGATTCTATGTCTAATGTCGTTTCTTCAATGTCTTCCGGATACTATCATGGCAACGGTTACATCATCGGCGAACCGAAACAAACAACACAGCCTCATGCAAATCATCTTATCCGCTATCAAACTAAAACGAGCTCACGATTCAACGGATAAAACCTATAATGATGTGATTATATGTGCACTGAGTTTGCTGAGCTCTTCGATGCAATTTGACAACGAAGACGTTGTCCAAGGAATTCATGCCGAGTTACTGAGTCTTTCCAAAGAAGGAAATGACGTGTCAGTGCGCGTGAAAAGTTTGAAGTGTCTAGCTAAAGTTGGAAAAGAACAAGGGAGTTGCAAAGACTGGCTAAAAAGTGATGTTAAACGAAAAACTAAACGAACTGTAGATGCTTGTTTAGATGACAGGAAGCGCGTAGTGAGACGTGAAGCAGTCACGTGTAAAACGGCCTGGGATAATTTTGGATTGTAATTTTAATTTTAACTCGAAATTTAGTTTCCGGAAAAATATTTAATATTGATTTAATAATTTTCTGATACCATAATTGTTTACTAAAAGAAACAATGTTCGTTGATAGAACCTTTTGTTTCTCTTAGTAATTAAATTAAAGCATAAGTCTCATACTAGATCTGTTGGCTTTGTCCCAATGCTGTCTGCTTTTCAAGCTTTTATGTTAGCTTGATTGGGTCTTTTGCACTAAACGGCCCAAAATCAATTTTTCTACATCGTAAGCTGGAAATTATGCGATCAAATTTGATAGGGTAATTTTAGCCAATCAAATTCAAGTTACATGGTCAGGCATTCCTAGCAGATAAAAATATTAGCCGAAATTGCCGAAAAGATGGAACTTTGAGTCAAATTATCAAATTAATTTTGAGTCACTTGTGAAACCTTGCCCAGACAAGCAAAATTCAATTTTCTCTATCATTTCGGCTGATAATTTTATCTGCTTGAAATTTCAATTGAAATGGCAGAAAATGTCGATGGAACTAGATCGGCTAATTAGCCAATCAAATTCATCCACAATAATTTCAGTTCAAGAGATGTAGAAATAATGAAATTGGGCCGTTTAGTGCATAAGACCCGCTTGGTTTTCTGTAGCTTCATGCATTCTTTTAATGAGTATTCATTCTTTTATATGGTTATCAATAAATTTTTGCCGACCGAAATACAACCTCAAACCGAAGTTCATCTTAATTTTTACCTATTTGATTGGAATTTTCAATAGTTTTTCTCACGATACTACTCATTGACTATTTTTGTACCATATACTACGAAAAATTCCGAATAAGGTTTCTCTTTCCACCGCGTGGTGGCATTAGTATTTAACTTCTGTACTTCTCAACAAACTAATCGGACAACGTCTTGTATTCTGTAATAGTTCCGACTTTCAAGCTAAAACTAATTCAAAATAGTTATTTGAAGTTTCGCGTTAGCACTTTGTTGTTTTTGTTCCGACTTTCGATACGAAAGTAACGGAATATTTATGCTCGGGGTGGGTTTTTTTCAGACAAATTTCGACTTTTTAACTAGCCCTTTTTGACGGAATTTTTTTATATCATTCGAAAGCTATTGTTGTCCTGAGCCTAAATTTGAAAAGATATTTTACCTGTGATCATTTTTTGAAAAGTTATGAGGGTTTAAATATTGCCATTTTGACCAATTTGGGACAATTAACGCGCGATATAAATCGCGCTATTAACGTGTAAGCGGATATTTAATCCTTCTTATAAATCGTTCCAAATTGGTTGAACGAAGCTTATTTGCCATAATTGATTTGTTACAAGGAACGAAATCTATATTTTTGTACTTTATATGGCGTGTGGGGGAATGATTGTCATAAAAATTTCAAATTTTAGAAAAAATTTTTATTTTATTTCAATTAATGTTTTTATGTTATTACTGCTGCTCCATAAACCTTAAAAGGCAGTCGGAACATTCAGGGCTTCGCCCTGATACGAGCAGTCTTGTCTATTTTATTATTCAGTAAAATTAAACAGGTAGACCTCGTCCTTCTCAGCACATCGCCTGAGCGGCAAATTAGTCTGAACAGAAAAAAATATATTCGAATCCAAATTCAGACTTCAAGGGTTTTAATGGACGACAACGCACTTCTTGGAAAAAATTGAATTTTCCCCGACCTTTATATGCTACTATTTACCGTCCTGTTTCAGTAGTCCAAACAAAAAGGCGAACGATGCGACCAGGTTTTTCAGGAATCGCTTTATGGGCATTTGGGGTTTACTCAGTCAGAAGTTTTGTTGTCTGAGAAAGAGGACGGTGGTTAATTGTGCCTCTGAAAGTTTTTCATCCACTCGTAAAATTACAAGATAAACATTCATACTGCCGCTTGCATGTAATTTTTTTTGTAAAGTCTTTAAAATTGATGACGCTGCTATCGTTTAATACTAATTATAGCAGCAGAAACCTTATTAGTTAGGCTTATTTGAATGGAGTTTCCGAAAAACACAGAAGGGATAGTAATGGGCATGAAAACGTTTAGAAAAGGAATCAGAAAAAAAAACAAATAAATTGGAAAGCATAAAGCGATTCTGAAATTGTCAGTAATTTTGATTACATATGCGGGTTTCATTAAAAATAAAGTTAAAACAAGTTAGTCAAAAAACTCGGCACAACTTAAAACCAAAAACTTACAAGAACAAACGTTGAAGTTAATGCAGCTCTAAATATATACATGTTTCTTTGCCCTTATCAGGGTTGGGAAAAAAACTTGTTTTCTTGACACTTTGAAAAATTAATAAGGAAAATTTTTCATTGTAAAAACAGCAGATACATTTCAAAATACCGTTTATTTTTGGAAAGACTACTGCGACAAAAACTGAGTATTTTAACGCAAACATTTTTTATTTAGCCAATCTTGTTTTTTTTTCCAGGGCGATTAGAAGACCGTTGTTTTTTTCTTCCAGACTATCTGTAAGCAATTTGTAGCCTGGTATCTAACATTGTTACTCAAGTACACATCTTGATTTTTTTCTATCCAAATTGTTTGAGACCTATTCATATTTATCTACAGTTGCTTAAAACTATTTTTGAATTGGCATGTGATCAAATTTATCGAAAGTGTCGTAGTGCACCGTGACTGATTTTCAAGTACACGGTTATGAATGGGGCAAGCAAAAATTTAACTTTGATTAGAGTGAAAAATGGTTAGAAGATATTACATAAAAGAAGTACTGCTAATTTGCGGTTCGTTGTCTTTCTCAGTTTCAACTCTTCGAGCGAACCTACCGGTCGGAGCAAGATTTGCACAGTCCAAAATTTTTAGGAGCTTCAGAAAAACGCGGCTTTTTTCTAGTTTTACATCCACTCGTAAAATTACAAGATAAACATTCATACTGCCGCTTGCATGTTTTTTTGTAAAGTCTATAAAGTTCATTACGCTGCTGTCGTTTATCACTAATTATAGCAGCAGAAACCTTATTAATGAAGCTTATTTGAATGGAATTTCCGAAAAACACAGAAGGGATATTAATGGGCATAAAAACGTTAAGAAAAGGAATTAAAAAAAACAAATAAATTGGAATGCATAAAGCGATTCTGAAATTGTCAGTAATTTTGATTACAGACGCAGGTTTCATTGAAAAAAAGTTTATACAAGTTAGTAAAAAAACTCGGCACAACTTAAAACAAAAAACTTACAAGAACAAAGGTTGAAGTTAATGCAGCTCTAAATATATACATGTTTCTTCGCCCTTATCAGGGTTGGAAAAAAAACGTTTTTTTTTTTGAAAAAATCAATTAAACAGAGTTTTTTTTAAAAAAAACCTGTTTTATTGTTGTTTTTTTTTACATTTTGTTCAGTTCTAACTTTCTACACTCATACCGATGATCTAATAGATATGCGGCAAGAAAAACGGAAAATCGGGATTCAGATAAACATTTTTTCTTGCAACAAATTTTTTCAGATGATCCGGTGCAGCATTGTAGAGAGCAAGCCGGCTCAATGAAAGAAGGCGGCTCAAACCCCTGTCGCAACAGTTCGACTCCCAGCTTTCTGCTATAAAACATTTAAAATAAAAAACTTGTTTTTTTTTATTTAACAGCTCGCAGCACTTGTTGTTCGGATCGTTTGAAAAACGCGGAGGAACTTTGTATTAGGGTGTGATTTTTTTTTCTTTTTGTTCCGACCATTTGAAAAATGGGGAGGAACCTTGTATTCGGGTGTTTTAGTTTTTTTGTTTTGTTTTCCACGCAAAATCAGCTACCACATTAATCATCGGATTGGATTGAATGATACATAGTATTGAAGCCCCTCCATTCGTGATTCCAACCACATTAAAAATGTCAAAAATTTGTCCCAGTGTCGAGAAAAACCGATTTCGAAATTTATATTTTTCGTCTTATTTCGAGCGAATAAAGCAAGCAAGCAGGCTTACAACCGCTGAGCTATGCATGTTTCTTAAACTTAAAAATTTAAGCAAGTAAAACTAGTTTTTGGAGCTTTTTAGTGATATTTTGGGAACCAAAAAATTCAAAAATATTCTACAAAAAGTTTTGAAAAAAACTCTTTTTGTATTTTTTTTAGTTTTTCTACCTTTTTTTTCAAATTTTGTCCAGTTTGCCTATATTACTACGACTGTCTAATATGCCTGAATTATATTTTTAGGTCAGATTTTTTTTTATCATACCTAGCAGAAAAAAACGACACTAATTTGTATTTTGTAAGAATTTAGAAAAAACTTTAAGATTTTCTAATTTGGAAAAAAGCTTTTTTTTTGTATGCATATACATGTAAATTTTCTCATTGGAACAGTTAATATTTGTTTAAACTCTTTTTTTTTTGCTAGATAGAAGAGCTGTCGATCAATTTCCCAAATCGTTTATCTCAGTGTTACTTTCATTTTTTTCTTCTAGTAAATAAAATTTTCGGGAATTACCGTAGGTTTTTTTCCAAAAGTTCAACATGCCTATTTTTTGAAAATTATTTTCATTTGATTGAAAATTTTATTGCTAAATTTTGTTTGACTAACAAATCATGCTCTTTTGGATAAATTCCTGTTTCAAGGGTATCAATGGGAAGTCCACCAACTCCCCTGTGTGCCTGCATAATCCATCCCCTAGTCCCATTTTTATACCTTAAAGCACTTTCTATGGCCTTTAAAAAAAATTGTGGGGGGAAACTTTTGTCCCATTTTTTAGGATTTTTTATGAAAACTACCCTCCCAAATCGAAAAATAAACTAGCCTCGAAAACTACTCTCCCAAATCTAGGAGTTTAGGTTAAATGAACAGGTTGTAGGTGTAACTCATCTGCATCGGTGGTTACGTCCAATTTTTTAGTACATAAAAAATTATGACCCCCGGAAAAGTCCAATTTTTGAGTTTTTAACGGTTTTTTGAAATTTTTTGATTTTTCTCAAAAACTACCCTCCCAGATCTGAGATTTTGATTTGAATGTTCGTGAGAGGCTCCCTTGCGTAAGCGGTTTTGCCCAAATTGTTTCACACAAAAAGTTTTGATCTTCGGAAAAGCCGAGTTTTCAATTGTTTGGCGTTTTTTGAAACGTTTGACTTTTCGCAAAAACAACACTCCCAAATGTAAGATTTTGAATTCAATGGGTAGACCGGGATGTGTAAAATTATAACCCCCGGTAAAGGCAATGTTTTGATTTCTTGTCCGCTTTTTGAAAGTCGAAAACAACTCAATATGATATCAAGGGTTTAATCTAGGCAACAGTTTGTGGAAAACCTCCGTAGATAAGAAGCTACACCCTAAAATTTGTTCAAAAAAATTGTCTCTGTGAAAACCTATTACACATCCTATTACACAAAACGTTAGTTGTTTGTTTTTAACTTGCGACA